CAGACCATTGACGACGGGTCCTCGAGAGGACGGAGCATTGTTCCCACAGGACCGATCACCGATCGCCAATCGTTCCTTTCTACTTTGCCAAAGGTGGCTCAAAAATGCCTTCTCTGTCTATCCCAACGATATCCCTTCCCGCCTTTTCAACCCACCTCCTATGCCCCAGTACAGCCACCGTCCTTTCCTCTCTATTCCATGCCTCAAACATCCCCCTGTACGTTCCATCTGTTTTACCCAGCTCAGTCACGTACACTTCCCTCTCCTTCTTGTACAACGGACATTCCGCGACTACATGAACACTGTCTTCGCATTCGAAGCCGCAATCACATTTGAACTCGTCGTCTTCCACGTCTACCGTCCTATGTCTTCGTCGAAGTTCTCGAAGGCCTATGTCCCCGGTCCTGAATTTGACCTTAAGCTTTGTTCCTGCATCCATTGGTCCATGTAGGTAGTCCTTGAACCCTATTCCTTCCTTCAACATTCGTAAGGGGGGGGGGATAGGGTAGGCTTGGAAGGTTGTTTGTGGCCACGACGAAAAGAAATACTTGTAGTACAATATTGGTTGGCTTTTGTTGTGGGCCGAAGGCGTCGTTGGCGTGATCGCGGGTTGTATTGCTTGTTCGGTAGCACGTACATACATGTGGGTGCTGCTCGAGGGTGGTAATCTATTTGGAACGGGCGAAGAGTGAGGTCCAGCAAGCTTGAACCGGGGCGGGGTTGTCTCCTTAGCGAGTGCATTTTTCGGGACCCCCTCCGGGACTCCTGTTTTTTGCATGCGTCAAACCGCATCTTCAAGATATCCAGTATCCGACAAGTGTCTCCCCTTTTTTCAATACCAGTACATCATGAACGTACCCCCCCCCCCCCCCCCCCCCCCCCCCCNCCCCGATCTCTTGCCATGTTTTCCCCTCCCGACAAAAAAAGCCCGAGGCGCTGTCGCAGCTCGATACGTCGCAGAGCGATCTCATGGTCTTGGACGCTGATCTGTGGATCGTGCGTGAGCGCGGGGAGCACTGCTCTTCGAACGAGTGCATATACAAGGTCTGTAAGGTGTCTTAAGCGTTTTCTTGGGGTGTGTAGGCCGCCGATACCAGGGAGTTGGACAAGGAGGCTCGGGGTTCCGCATATGCCCAGTGAACGCGATGATTGTCAACTTGGAGTGTGCGTCTCTAGTCATGTATATTACCTTGAAATCAATGGCATCTGCCTCGCCTGCTTCGTGTAGAGATGTTCCCCCCGTGTTCGGCGGGAGGTACCGCGCACCTCCTTCGGTCCAGCTGCACAGTGTCGATCGCCCTTCTTGGCTGGAGCTTTTTGTCGTTGTCTAGATACCACTTTGTTTTCGGACCACTCCCCGCTGCTGCTGCTGCTGCTGCTGCTGTGTGTTCCAGCTGTCAGATTTTCGTCTGTGTCAACTCGTTGTTGCTGCTGTTGCTGTTGTTATTGTTGGTGTTTTCAGGACAAAACGACCGGGATTTCGAGCAGGCGGCATTACCACGCGACGTGCGACCACCGGCACAAAGGCGGTCCCAAGGGGGGCATGATTTTCCACCACCACCAGCTGGAGAAGATCCAGAAGCACCAGCGGGCGCACATCCGCACCCTGCACAAGAAGACTCCAGGTATGTATCTATGCGGAGATCGGCTAGTTTCCCTTGGCCGTTTTCACGCTTGATGAGGGAGGAGCATTTTCTCAAGCATTTCTTGTGTGTGGTCTTTCTCCTGTGCAACCCCTGGTGTGCCGCCCCCGCCAGACGTTGTCAAGGTTACCAACCGTGCCTCGCGAAGCACCCCACAAAGACTTGAGGTCGAGGAAGAGGTGGTGTTGTTATGAACTTCCATACGCTTCGACCTGGCGGGGGGGGAGATAAGGGTGACATGTATTTTTGGTGTTCGGTTTTTCCTCACCCGTTGCCACACGCGAGTGGTTGCGAACAACGGCTTAGGCCAGCCGACGCCATTTGCCGAACCCGTCTCCCACGAACGATTCCCCTCATGTTTCTGTGGATGACACCTGCTTTCATAACGCCGGACTGCAACCAATGACACTAATCCAAATACACGTTCCAGAAACACCGCGTTCGTGTAAGTTTCTCGCTGTACCGCAGCCCAGGTATTTTCACCCGTGAAAATACGTAAATACACATTTCATCACGCCGCGTACATGTGAAATAACCCGCCACTCATGAAAAGCAGCCGAGGCGGTGCTCAACGAGGGCAACGTGGAGCCGTACCTGCCACAGGAGTGGACGGAGCAGGAGGCCAGCGTTCTGGCCCACCTGGTGGGCATGTACGGCCCGACCAATTGGGGGATCATCTCGGCCGGGGTGGGTACCAAGACGGAGACCCAGGTAAGCGGGGAAGAATCAGTGGGAATTATGTTGCCAAGTACGTGGGCTGGTCGCGTGGGGAACTAGGGTGCAGGGAGAGATAGGTTGCCAAGCACGATAGCTGGGAGTGTTGAAGATGTTCGTGTTTACTGTCTTTTGTGGAAACCCTGCTTGGGCAGGGCGGGGGATCGGGGTGGTGGTGGTGCGGATGGCACTCCGCTCCGTCTGGGAGGGACGCGTTGTTGCCGCGGATGTTGTAGCAGGGCTCAGAGAGGTGGTGTCAGTCTTTGTTTGCCAGTAGAGGAAGGGTAGGTAGACGTCGGGGAAAAGGCCAGGGCAAGTTTGAAGGAGGTGTGACCACGCGATTAATGAGCAACAGCGAGGCCCAGTTGATAAGAGGATGGGGTGAAGACGGACTAGGGGCGTGTGAAGCGTACGAATGCAAGTAGGGTATCATCCTAGTAGCGAGGGGCTTCAATCTTTATCGCTCCCTTGCGCTGCTGCTCCCAACAGTCGACCCGCTTGAAACACAGCAGCAGTAACGCCGTACGTCGATTTTCTCCATGCCCCATTCATTACAAACACGCACATTTTTAACAAGACTGAACGTGTTGGTCTCGCCACCGCGGCACGACAGTGCATGCTCCACTGGAGGTTCGCTCTCAACGGAAATGCTACCGTCAAGGGCACGGGCACGTGGCAGTCGGTGGAGGACGAGAGGATGCTGTCCTTGGTGCAGGTGATTTTCTTTCGATTCGAGACGACTCTACGAGTGGGGGGCGGGGGTTGGCGTTTCTAAGCCGTGTATGAAGACGGAGTTGAACCGAGCACGTCGGGGATGCACCAACTAATGTAGAGTGGAGGACGAGAGCATGATGTTGGTGCAGGTGAGTTTCTTTCGAGACGTTCGCGAGGAGGAAACGAGGACACCGGGGGGGGGGCGCACTCATGTTTTTCATGCCTACTGGGTTGACCATTGAACGGTTTCTAAACGGTAACGGAGTTGGACCGATCACGTCGAGGATTCACCAGCTAGACAAGGGTCAAAGGCTGGGGTCGGGACAGGACAGGATGTTGTGCTTTCACTTGGAATTTTCGGCCCTTCACCGCCCGCAGCATGCTCGACAGCCAAAAGGCACCCAGAGTAGATGCAAGAGCGGAGGAAATCACCGAAACGACAAGACGTAGCGGAGATCAGAACTACACACAACAATGAGCACCCAACGGGAGGTATTGCACGCATTCCAGTGTTTCCCGCCCACACCCCTTTGACGGTCGTGTGCCGAAGACGTAGGACTCTTTTATCCCTGGTGACAGACAAACTGACACAGCCGACTTGTTTCCGTATGAGAGATGGCGCCGTAGCGACCCGTTCTTTTCGTTCGTTCTCTTCTTTCTTATGTTAATTTTTTTTTCGCCGGTCGTTGGCCTGCATCTTTTCGTGTTTCCTTTCATCCTTCTTTTTTATCTTTCCCTTCAGATCTTCGGTCAGCGTTGGTCGACCGTGGCGGAGCACATGCCCGGGCGATTGGCAAAGCAATGCCGGGAGCGGTATTTGAACAATCTCGATCCGGAGCTGCGCCGCGGTGCTTGGTCGCGAGAGGTATCAATAGACAACGAGCGGGGAAAGGGTTGGCTTTATTTTTGGAGTGAAAGGTGGTGGGTTGAGCGATACCCATCAAGGTGGGGGAAGGATTGAGTTCAATCTCAATCTTGGAGCGAGATGTTAGTTGTGCGTTAAGGAAAGTCCACCGAGTTTTGCAGGTTGTACGCTAGTTGTGTAGGAGCGTGTTTAGCTCTGCTTTTATGTTTCGCCGGGTACTCCCACACCTCCTTATGACTAGTACATTTGGTGTGGTTGCAATTGCAATGTTGACTCTGTGTCGTGTGTCGCAGGAAGACGCTGTTGTGTCTACATGCAAAATCGCCACCAATATATTGCTGTTCGTGTCTCAGGAGGACGCTCTACCCTAGTGCAAACCGCGACCGATTCCTCTTGTGTTGTATCGCCGCAGGAGGACGAGAAGCTGCTGCAGCTGCGAGGCCAACAGAACAAGAGCTTCGCCAAGATCGCCGAGCAGATAGACGGCCGCAGCTACAACGACGTCAAGAACCGCTGGTCGCAGATCAGTCGCCAGATTGCAGCCCTGAAGGTTCGGTCGGGCATGTGGTGTACGATGTGTTTCTTTTGGAGTGGGCATCTTGAGATGGCAGAACAGGCATATATATATACATTGAGAGATATAGAGGGGCAGACCGAGAGGCAGAGGAAGGGACAGCACGAGAGATAGAGGGAGAGGGAGAGACGAGAGACAAGAGAGCAGAGAGCAAAGACACGCATACAGAAAGAGCGAGGGAGGACAAACGCTGCGCACCTACAGTAGATCGTGCTGATACCTTCGCTCACTTCTGAGCTGTCGTTTGTAAAGGATACCATATTCTGCTTCTCGGCATACTCTGGCTTCGCTGGCGTCCACCCCTCCTCCCCCATCTCGCCCAAAGTTTGATTATAATAGGGTCCCACGCTGCCCTCAGCGCTGTTTAGTCTGACTGCTCACCCCCCTACCCCTACGTCCGATCACCGGTCAACTCCCGGCCACCAATCGTTGTGGCCGACGACCTCGAGCAGAAGGCATCCCAGAGCAACAATGGCGAACCGAGCCACGCGGCGAGATTGGCAGCGGGGGGAACTCCGTCTCGAGCAGCGGCCGCGACAGCCGCCGCCGCCGCCTCCGGCGCCGGCGCAAGCGCTGCGACAGGAGCCCCACAAAGCAATAGCGGCGGTATCAGTGCCTCTAGGGGTGGTGGACGCCGGGGGACGGGTCAGAGCTCGGGCGCCGCCGCCGTGGCTGTCGCCGCTGGCGGCGGCGGAGGCAGCGGCGGAGGAAGAGAAGGAGACGGCGCGACGGCGGCGGCGTCGTCGACAAGGTACAGGGTATGCCTGCAGAGGGGAGTTCCAACCCTTCTCGAGGCCACCGAGGACGGGGAGGGGGAGGGCGAGGGGGAGGGCGAGGGGGAGGGGGAGGGCAATGTGGCGAAGGAGGAGCCGGTCTGCTCTCCGTTCCGGGAAGAGGTCATGCCGCCACACCAACGCCAGCAGCGAGTAACGGCGACGGCGGCGGCCGAGGGGGGACGAGGTTCCAATGGAACGCCGCCGCCCCATGGCGCGTTGATGGGGATGGATGGGGTCGGGGAAGCGGCTGCGGCGGCTGCGGCGGAGGCTGGGGAACTGGGCCCACAAATGACGGAAGCGGAGGCCGCGTCGATTGCCGGGGGGGCACTGTTTGGGTACGGCAGCGACATGAGGGTCTCCATATGATGTTTGTGGCGTTAGTGTCTGGGGTTGTGTGGTTGGATCAGTGTCGTGCGCTCTGTGTGGTCGCTTTTCGCGAGCTTTGCATCGTCCATACCATATGATACAATGCTGTGACTTGAAGCGGAATACCTTGTGAGACGGGAGTGTGCCGGAACTGATGAAGGAGCTTGTTAAGCGCCCCTGAGGTGGGAAAGAGGTGTTTGTTGATGTCGGGGGAGCGATGGATATCAGCAACGGTTTGCACCGAAGTGGACGACAAATCTTTTCATATATACCTCAAGTAGCGCACCGTTTTACGGGATGAAAGTGGTCACGAACATTGGGCCCTAGAAACGTTCCGACATGGTTGATTAACCCTTAGATGATTTACCGTGTAGACCTACGGCGTGATGCCGACATGATGAGTGCGTTTGCCGCCCGGGGTATTCGCGGCTTGGTTGATCGAAATAGTAGTTGACGTTGGCCACAGCTTCAAGAGACACAAGATAAGATATCAACCGTCGCGTGCTGCCTCACTGAAGAAAATATTGTTGCCTATCGAAGTGTCCTTCTGATGGCGCTTCGAATGTATTTTGGCGAATTCTTGGCTGGAACTCAGCCGTGGAAATGAGCAGGGGGACGTTCCGGGTGTGTTTTAGTTTTTGCTGTCTAGAAAGCCCAGTTTGAGAACCGGAATTCTCCTCCCGGCAGGAAATTCGAACGTCCTTCATATGTCTTCAAAGTTCCGGGGGATTGGCGATGACAGTTATTCGTAACGTTTCGGATCCTCTCTCTACAACAGTATCGAGCTGCAGTCGTTTGCTCGACTTGAACAATCCTCCTGGGGTTGGTGTTGAGATCGAGGGGGGCACCGCAGTCGTACCTTTTGTTTTTCTGAGAAGATACGGGGCCCCGTGTATCGCTGGACTTTGTCGCTGTTCTTTTTGCGGTTGTTTTTTTCGCTCTCTTTGCCGCCCTTGGCGGGCAGGCAGGGAGACGAGCGAGCAGCCAAGAACGCCCTCTGGTTGTGGAACGCCCTGGCCTTAGGAAACCCTGGCGTATATATTTACTTCTCGGGCGCATTAGGTAGGTAGGTAGGTGTAGGAGGTAGAAAGGCAGATCACAGTCTACGCGAGCCGAGAAAGGTGATGGATGGGGTACGCGATGGTTTGCGTTTAGTGCATGTGGTTGGAGGGACAGCAAGCTCGATGGAAAGGAGAACAGCCTGGCTCGAAGGTTTGGTGGAAGGCTGGCTGTACGCGTTTCGTCAGGTCTGTGTTGCCGTTGATCTGGGTTGAGCAGCTAGCACGGCGATATGCGTAGGCAAGAGTGGAAAAAATCTGTCATTGTTGCGGTTTGGTACATCCCCCCCCCCCCCCCCCCCCCCCCCCCCCCCCCCCCCCCCCCCCCCCCCCCCCCCCCCCCCCCCCCCCCCCCCCCCCCCNCCCCCCACCAAGGAGGTTCCGTCATCTCGTAGCTCGTCTGAACGGAGGCATGTAAATGTATGTGGGCCGACTCCAATGGAGACGGCATGGGCAACTCCGTCGTGGGTATAGTTTTTATGTTGCCCTTCTTGTTTGAGGAGTTCGATGCCATGATTTTCGTACGCCTTGTGTTTGTTGGTTTTCTGTGCTCGGTGGGCATCAATTCCGCCCCAAACTTGTCAGCTAGTATTTGGTTGCGTCATGGTCCTTGTGTGTTTGGAGGGGCAGCTGGCTGCTCAGAGGGTTGAACCAACTCGAGTGAGAAGCACAGCATTGTTGCGAGTCCCCGCAGTGTACGAGCCCTGACAAGCCGTCTACTCTCGTTTCGTTTCCTCGAAAGGGGGACCCAAGATGAAGCATCGTTCACTTCTCTGTAACGTTATTAACAGCGGCAGCTTAGATATTTCATTTTGTGCACGTTTTTTTTTTCCAGCACCGTGCAGTTGTCTCTTCTGTGATGCCGATACTATTCTGGGAGCTTTGTGAGTGTTGTTCGTGGGCTTGGTGTTTTTCGTCGTGAAGTCTGCGGCGCCCTCATGGTGTTCCCTGTAGTGTACCGGTTTTGCAAGTGTAGCTTATTATTATTTTAATTGCCGGTTTGTCTTTTGAAAAACCCTAGATTGTTGGGCACGTAAGCGACATGTTTTAGGGCGCAGCCTCGCTGAGTCATGATGCTGCCACCGTTGTTATAATGTTCTAAATACCTCGTGGATGGTTATTAACGGGATGATATTGTTAGTTAAGCGAAAATATACTATGTGTCTGTAACAAATTGTTTTTGGCTCCGCGTGCTGTCTGATGAACACGAGGTGGTACAGACGGCGAAATATGTTCTGGACAAGGAACGTGATCGTGTACATTTTGGTGCGCGTATTTGTTTTGTGTGTTGTTGACGTTTCCCTCGTGGGAGTTTTGTCGGCTGTTTCGCCACGTACCTTTTCCCGGTCCCCGCCCATTGTGTTGTCCCTTTGACGCCGGCATGGTACGGGTTGATGTTCAATATTACCGTATATCTTCAACACAAATGAGCGGTGGGCGTCGAACCCCATCGGATTTTCGACTTTTTTGCCTTGCATGGCATCGTAAACGGCAATCATTCACCATGAAAAATGAACAATACTTTGCCGGCTCGTCCACTCTGTGTTTCTTGAAAAGTAGAAGGTGGATGGGTGGATGGATGGGTCACCCGCGCTACTGTAATGTAGTACGGGGTTTGTTTGACAGTATGCATATTACGTTTATCGCCAAGGGTTAAGTCTACAAACTCAACGAAGATTTACAGGAAAAACGTACTCGTGAGATGAAACTGTAGCCCAGACCTATCTCCAATAATTCAGGCTATCTGCTGTTTCTGTCTGTCTATACCTCGGCCGATGTGCCCCGTCTTCAGTACCTCGGTCCATATGCCCTTCCTTCTACTCCACCCGTCTTTGGGTTCGCCAGTCTAACGCATTGTTCATGTTGCACTCGTTCTCTCTCGCGTCGGCTCGCCCCCGACGCCACCCTCTGCGCGGCTCCTGGCTCTCTCGGTCTCTCTCTCTCTCTCTCTCTCTCTCNCTCTCTCTCTCTCTCTCTCTCTCTCTCTCTCTCTCTCTCTCTCTCTTCGTGCTTGATCAACCTCAACCACGGCCATGCCTATAACTCAACCGCCCACTCTTGCTAAATCTGCCGAAGTCGCGGGGATCGACAAAAAACTCCTTGCTAGGTAGATATATTGTTCTTGGTTGCGTTGGACTTCTTCTGGCGAGGGCTGTTTTATTGTTGATAGAAATTGGAATTACCAATAGTTTTGCGTGTTGAACCTAGAGTGCACGCCCGACAAGCTTTTGCTTAGACATGGGTTGTAGTGAAGGGGGGGGTCTTTCTGGCGAGCAGGGCTAGACTCACCCTCAAGGGATGACCGAAACCTTCTTGCTGCTGCGCATATCCGCCGCGAGGCATGCGCGTGGTGGTGTAGTTGGGTCGGCACTGATGGGGTCAGGCGAAAAAATGTAGATGCGCGGGCCTCTGGCCGTCGGCGTAGGCAGCGATGCCCATCTCATTTTTTGTGCGCGGAGGCAGACACCGTCAGAAGGTGGACGGGAACTATGTACACGGCCCTAGGTTGGCTAGAGGGCGCTGCATTGCCTCAGTAACCTGGCTTCGCCATCAAAGGAGGAGGGAGCAGGTGGCGACGAGCTGAACTGGGCTGGTTGACCCCTTCGGCGCGAGAATTTTTATTTTTCAGACCAAGAACCTTGAGTGCAACGAGGGAGAAAGCGAGGAACCGACTGGGAAGGACAGCAACGAGAGCGTGTACGGACGGAGCAGGTCGAGTGGCGTTATGCTCGGGCTGACTACAGCGGCGCCGGACGGAGCAGCGGCACCGGAGCATGCGGGCGACATCGACCCGTGGCGCACAGACAAACATTTGTGTCTGATCTGTGGAGTGGATCTGTGTTGTCAATTTTTCTCGTTTTTTTCCTGATTTTCGGTGTTGGTTCTATGTGATGACGTCGTCACTGGTTTTGTAGAGAGACCCGTCAGAGATGGCGTGGCTAACCCGGGTGCCTTGGTTATGTGCCTGATCGTGGAAGACCCCTTCAATGTGGAACGATTCTTAGCTATTGTCGATATTTTCACTGCGTGCCTAACACAGACGATCGGGAGAGGTTCGGGTGATTGTCCATTGCAATCATGGCTTTGGTTGGTTGTTCTTTTTCACTGTACGTCCGCAGACACATTCTGACAGCACTTCAGACAGCAGCTTTGTGCCCCGCCAGCTTCTTGTTCCATGCCTACCATGGTGTTTTTGTACAGACAGCACTTCAGACAGCAAGTATGCTGTAGTCGGCAATCATTCGTTTTGGTACAGAGTGGGACAGGTAGGGGGTGATGTTGCTGTAGTCGAACGGTGAGACGGACGTGTAGTTCAGTTTTGGGCACGCGTACGGTGCTGCAGGGATTATATATAGGTGTAGTAGTACCTCTTCGGGCTCTTGGATACCTTTTTCTTGCTACGTGTGCGTGTTCTTCAGATCCTCAGATGGCTCCAGCACTTTCGTGACCACGGGCTGAGAGTCTTTGCTAGATTTTGGCATTAAGCAACTGGCATACGGTTTAATGTGAAGTCAACAACAACAACGCCCCGAAGATGGGGGGCATGCTGATTTCGGGAAGTTGTGTAGAGATGCATTTATTTGGACTGCGGGACTACGACAAAATATTTACATGACCAGCACATCCAGGGTGTGTTCCATATCTAGGCTGCGCGCCGAGAGAGCATCCATGGCTTTTCAGCTCTTCTCTCGTATGTTACAAAACATACGGCGCCAATTTTACGGAGAGGGGTAGCCTCGAACCATCCTCTCCCAGAGCTCCTCTCCTGTCTCTGTGATCTTTGTCTTGTATTCGCCCGGGCTCCAGGTCAGGATGATGACACGATGATTTTTTTTTCTTCTAAATTTTCGACCCTCCGGTCTCAATTTACATATTCAAAACTGAAACCGCCAAAAACAAATCGAGTGGTATCGTGGAAACCCTCGATGTACTGCATCTCGCAGCTCTCGGTCTCTGATCCACACTTCACCTCCCTGTTCACCACTTCCCACTTCACAGCATCAGCTGCGAAGGTCACCAGTCAAAGTGGCATGGATTCCAAAGGTGAGAGAGTTTGGGAGTATGGGAGTGAGGGATATGCACGGCTGGTCCCAGAGGTGTTATTTTAGGGACGGGTGTGTAGGTGTGTACGGTAACAAGCACCTTGCCCAGATCGCCATCGCCAAATCCAAATCCTTGTTGCGATGCACCACACACATGGAGTTCAGTGCCCATGCATACGAGGTTCATGACCCTCTTTCTGTGTGGGAGGAACCTACTACTTCGAGGTGGACGTGAAAAGGGCACCTATCTTGCGGGCTATATTGGGAAGAAGACCAGACACATGAAGCGACACCACAACTCAAAATCTAGACTGCTGTATCTGTAGCAGTAGACTGTTGTACTTTTTGTATCATAGTCTAGTCTAGTCTACCTGTTTTACACACTGCTGTAGGCCCATTGCATCTTTTCGCTGTGGGGAGAGTAACATCGACCCAAATTTGTCACACTACTGGGAGTTTTGTTATTTTTGTCGATGGGCAGCTCATGGACACATGAATCATTGTACATACTGCCCATGATCCGCCCATGTGCTTCGTGGGCACTCAATCCAATGCCCATCAGGGCTGCCCATGGGCGTTTAATCTCAACCACAGACGTGGCGAGCGTACCCGGTCCATGGTGCACTGTAGGTAACAATACAATCCGTTGGCCCTCTTGATGCTGTGAAAGCGGGTGATTAAATTGCTCAAGGGGGACACACATCCAGTATTCGACTGCCGTGTTTGCATTTCTTTGGGTAGTCGAATGTCAGGGCATGATTGAGACCCTTGAACAACCCCCGTTGTCCTACGTAGTACTGCTGTAGATCGACTTTTGGGGCCACATTTTGGCCACATTCTTCTTCCCCTGTGATATTAGCTCTCCAATAATGGCTATGCGTGTGTCCACCTTTCTACTCCTCGACAAGGGGAGTGCCGGGGTCTGGGGGGCGCTACAGTCTGTTGTAGTGCGGGTGCTACGTAGACGGGAGGAGTAGGAGGGTAGTGGAAGGGAGGGTCACCGGACGATACCGCAGGTTCGACAGCGAAGTCGCGCCGCGTGTGCGCTTGCTTGGAAAGCGCTACCAGCGGCAAGCGCGGAAGGATGCACCTCACCCACCGATGAAATAAGACACCCGACCAGTCAAGAGATTGAACATCCGAGGTCCCGCTTTCTCTGTAGAGGAATAGAGCAGTCTATCTTGAAATTCCACTTTTCGTTCCCCGATTACCACTCTCCTGCCAGTCTTTTCTGAATCCCCTGTCATCTGGACCCCGAGGTCCCGTGCTAACAGGGCTTTGTAACAATATAAGGCGCAGGCAAGGAGGCAGCTTTGCCCTTGCAACCAAGTCTGGAACTGTCCGCATCATCCAATCAGCAGGCACCATCCTCTCTTTTTCTTTTTTCTCTTTGCAGAATTTTTGCAATACGATCGATTGTTTTATGGTGGTTTTTGTCGTCGGGGGCACACCCTGGAACACGTACTGAATCTCGTGTCGGTGCAGTAGTCATTACCAATCTTTAAGGACGCCCTGAGCGAGTCGGGTGAGGGTTATTAAGTACTAGCGTTAGGGCTTCCCCATGGTGGTCTGCCCATGGGCTGCCCATGGTGAGCATACGATGATCGCTGCCCATCGTGAGCATTGCGGGACACCCACGATGGAGAGTTTTTTTGGGCATGCCCGTGAGGCGCCAACTGTGGGGACAAATTCGGTGCAATATGGGCTCACAATAGACATCCCAAAGAACTGCCCATGCTAATGTCCCTTGGAAAACTCATACACTACCATGACCATGTGCACTCTCAGGTATGGAGTGCACATGGGGTGCCCACACGGGCTGCTCATGGGCGCTTGCTGTTCCAATGTCTGCCCGCGGGTATCCCATGGAACAATCAACAACGGCGCTAATCCATGTACCTGGTACATCAGGCCAGTATGTAGCCCACCACCTACATTATTTTACAATCTCATCAGGAAACACCTCGCACACAATACATGTCGAATTGTCGAATTGCTTGTAATTCAACACCTCTTTTGAATAGAACTAAAGTTGTGTTCGTTCTGTAAGAACGGCAATCTGTACCAACATATACAACGCGTTTGTTTTACGTACGTCGATATCCCATCCAGCTTCTACCTCCAGTGATACACTCCGATAAGCAGGATGTCAACCAAATTGAGGTTTTGAGCCGGTTCCGCGCAGGCAGCCATCCGATCTGCTGCAGTTCATTCGAGTACCAGCAGAAACACGGAGACGTTAGCCCATCGCGGGACTTTATGTCTACACAAGAAAAAGATATTAAATGTATGCCGTTGCAGTCGGGACTGAGACAACACCGGCGGGAGACGGGGTGCGTATGTGTTGTAGAACGTCGTGCAGAAAAAAATCGACCTAACAGTTTGGCATTGCTTCGTCACAGCATTTTTTTATTTGAAACGACATTTCGATGCGATGTTTCTATCAATAATTCGATGCGATACGGTCATCATACAGACTATCATGGCGAGAACAGCAGTGCGGGGCCGGACAAAAAGGCGGTGGTGAAACAGCTGAAAATCACCGGCTTACATCGGGAGGCCGCTGGTGGTCGAAAAGGCGGTGACCGCCCCATAGTGCATATTTTCCAGGTGTTTGCCCCACCGGCCCGCTTCAACGTCATAGAAGACGGCAACGCGACGTGCACCAAGGTAGCTGGCACGAGACACATCATTTCTCGTACCGATAAATCACCTAAAGTGCATCAACCTTTGGTCATCATCCCATGCAGCGAATGCCCTCTGATATAATATGCGCACCGATGCCTGCGGTTGCATGCATGACAATGTTCACGAGGAGCAACGGACGCGTCAACGTCGTGAGCAGACAATAAATGAAGAAAGGCACATCGACCGACAATATTATCGGATTCGAGAACCGGCCGGTTCAGCATCTAAAGGATACTCCTCACGGCACTGGTCGTTGCCAGGGGCCGCCAACAATGGTACGACCTACAGTTTTGCATATTTGATCGCACCTCATTTGTTTCCTCCCCTTGTCTCTCGGCTGTGCACGCCAATTTCAGCCGCCTGTTCCCGTGAAACCACGTTGTATCCGGCCCCCCATTTTACGAAATCGTTCTAATAATACCCACCGCCATAGACCCCCGAATGTTCCACAGGGCATGGGGTCCTCTACAGGACCTTCAGGCAACAGCCGCACACCCTTCTCAGACCTGCCTCTCTGTCGGAACCCGAGAGGATTATGGTCTAGATGGCACCATCATCACGGGTAGCACCCACATAGAGGTCAGCTCCTGGGGTGGGCGTGCACTCTGGCAACAATGTGAATTCGATCCTGTTTGCCTTGCCGCATAGCCGTCGCTCGGTCTTCTCCTGTTGTTTCTTAGACCAATCCCCTCCCGAGGGGTTGACTTGGTATTTTTCTTCTCACGACAGTCCGTTCCCACTCTATTTGGGACAACGCCAGGCCTATTGCGTATTTTCCCTGTCACCCAAGCACAGCCATATCCCACTCAACTTCAAGCTGGCTGATGTAGGACCTTCCTTCTGGGTGCCTCGTTTGTCGTTGGAATAACTCCCAACATTGATAGCCCCGCTACTGCTGTTGTGCAAGGGTTGCGTGACCTGCGTTGAACGTCATCTGCATGGTGTATACCCATTCTTCAGATTGTGTCGAGACCCTCCTCACAAGACGTTTCTTGTTCGGAGATGGTCCGCGTCGTGGTACAGCCGTGTGGCTGGCGCATGCCTCCTAGACTGTGGCCCACACATCCATTTTGTCATGTTGTTGTCGCAGTGTGTCCGTCGACCTCGGGATGCCACCGCCGAGAGCGTGACAACGGTGAAGGTACCCAAGAACAGCAGATTGTACATTGAACTATCTATCTAGATCCAACCATATGCACTATTTTAGTCATGAACAGGCTCACGACCGAACCCAATCGCTCATCCCATTTCTGCTATCTGCGTTGCAATACAATTCTTCGGTGCACCGGCGACGTGGTTCGCATGCCTTTTTTCAGGAGGAAACCGGCGCATCGACGCCTTCATCATCGCCTTGAGCCAGCCATGCGACGAAATGAACAACCGCTGGTTTACGTCTACTCTGAATATTCAGCTCGCGTCGTTGGAGTTCTGCAGGGCGAGCAGAAGCATCCCGACCATCGCCCTTCATGTTGATAGTCGTATCCCTCGTAGCCTGTGGGATGGTCGCAAATCACAGACGCCGTCGAGCACGCGCGGCTTGGAGATTCGCTGCTGGAAGGCACGCCCATTGAGTCGCGTGCCGCTCATACGTGCTTCGCGGTTGAACTGGGGGCTCTCGATGGAGACTTTGCTGCAGAGTACCGCCGTCGAGCTGTGGACAGGGTTGAAGAGTTTGCACCTGTGTGGAGACGTGTCTGACGCCAGCCCAGCGTCGATGGTTCAGCCTCAAAGGCTCGAGCAGCTGGAGGGTAATAAGGACGCGAGGGACTCTGTGGAAGCGGTACCGTGGCCCGCCTTCCTACAGAAGCTATCGTTTGGGTTCCCCTTCAACCGACCCATCGCTGGAGTTCAATGGCCGAACTCCCTCCGGAGCCTATCGTTTGGGTACAGTTTCAACCAGCCCATGGACGACATTTCATGGCCGACCTCCCTGCACCAGCTGTCGGTAGGAGATAGATTCAACCAACCCATCGCCAGGGTCAGGTGGCCGGCCACCCTGCTACAGGTATCGTTTGGAAAATCGTTCGACAAGCTCATCGACAACACTGTATTGCCGACATCCCTGCAGCAGCTGTCGGTAGGGGATAGCTTCAACCAACCCATCGCCAGGGTCAGGTGGCCGGCTTCCCTGCGACATGTATCGTTTGGGAAATGCTTCAACAAGCTTGTCGAAGACGTCGAATGGCCGACCTCCCTGCGCCAGTTGTCGTTCGGAGATAGCTTCAACCAATCCATCGCCAGGGTCAGGTGGCCGGCCTCCCTGCGACAGATATCGTTTGGGAAATCCTTCGACCAGCCAATTGTTGGAGTCACGTAGCCGGCCTCTCTCCAGAGTCTGTCGTTTGGGTACAGGTTCAACCGAACCATCGTCGATGTAATGTGGACGTTTTCGCCACAGCACCTATCGTTTGGGCACCGGTTCAACCAGCCAATTGTTGGAGTCACGTGGCCGCTCTCCCTGCAGCAGCCGTACTTTGACTTCTGTTTCGACCAACCAGTAATCGGAGTTTCGTGGCCGCCCTCTTTGCAGGAGTTGTTGTTTTGGGGGAGCTACGACATCCACATTGACATCACGGGAGTCACATGGCCGGCTTCTCTGAAGCGACTGTATGTCAATGGTCGTATGATCGTCTTTGGTGGAGCGGGTGACTCGTGCGGGGATTAGGTGTTGCTCTGCACACCATATCACGACGTCTGGCGGAAGGAGCCCTTGGAGAAAACCGACCTAGGGTGCTAGTGTCGGCGAGGACGGCTTGGAATGCACCGTCATGTACATGTATTGGTCGAGCCTGAATGTGATCCTTTCCGCAAACGAGCATTACAGCAGTTTGCGCCTTCGAGGTCTCCACAAGACCTGCTTCCAGCGACACCATTAGTCGAGCTAGATGCGCAATCTTGGTGCCGTTACTGTCGAACGAGTGTCTACACATGGCTGCGCGAACGGTATTTGTTTGGCGGGGAAGGCGTGGTCGAGGTTGTGGTCATATGGTAGCGGTATTGGAACACAAAGGTCGGACGCGACGGCGAGGAAGCTGCCGTCCGGCTATTGTGACCAATATTCGCTGTAGTATTGGCCAAGGAACCGGAAGGATAACTCCCGAAGCGAGTGGTGTGTGGGAAGACCCGTGGGTGGGGGGAGAGCCCAGGCATGGGGTGCCCTTAGCCGAAGGAAGACTTGGCTGAAATGCTTAAATTACGACTCCCAGGTATTCGGCGCCATAGCCGAACCCACGGACGATGCCAAGAGGAGAGTCCTCGTGCCATCTGGACTCTCGCAGCGGAAGTGGATGGCGGGGCGTCTTGCACGTGGGGGATGTTGAGAGCTCCATGGTCGCCTGACATGCGGAAGAAGAGAAGAGCAGCAGACGGACGTCGCACGACTAATAGGGGCATAAAAACGGGGGGTGGGGGAGGCACGAGGGGAGAAACGGAGTCGAAATATACATTTTACGGGAGGACACGACTGCAGCTGAGGAGAGCAGGGCGGAGACGACGGGAGATATGGCGGAGTGAACGTGATGGAGGTGGCAGGGAAAATATTAGGCGTCAACATACGTCATGCGGCTACCCTCGTGTATACATTTCCCCGCTTCCCGATGTGACATTGTTATTTCTTCTTTCGGTTGTGGTTGGTTAAGTTTTTCGACCTCTACTTTGATGCGTGTCTGCGTGCGACGGGCATGAGCCTGGCCGGTGAGAAGCTATCATGGAGTATGCCGGCACGGCAGCACAAGGAATGGGGAGAGGAAGAAGCCATGTTGGCGTGCCTATGGGGAGTTGGAGCATGCAGGCATCATCACCGTTGTCGGGATCGTAACCCCCCGACCGTCCAGTTTGTGGGTAGATGTGTGGTTGAATGACCTGTGTACCACGGCGGCAAGGACATCCCGGGTACAAGGGTAGAATCAACTTGGCTGTCTTGAGTGGTGAGCGTTGATTGTTTTGCGTGTCTCACGTTTTGGCATCGCTTGCCGACCGAGAGCGATGGGCTCGACTGTAAACTTGGTATTCTTCTGTGCGTCTCCTTTTTTCCCAAAATTATCACCAGTGATGTCTGACCACGGTTCTGGTCGGTTGCTTCACGATCGTGTCTGTGGTGTGTTTTCCTTTGGTTTTCTGTGGAAGTGATGCACTCGGTACTTTTTTTGGGTAATTAGCCTGTTAGCACGAAAGGGCCGCGTCAGTCAACTGGTAAGGATGTTTGAAGGTATGCTGAGCAAACACGGGAACGGTTGTTTTTGCTGAAACGACAAGAGGGGAATATTCGCCCATATCATGGTTTGGGCCGCTCGGCCACGCGGGGGTCATCGGTTGACGGATGGTGTAACGATTGAAGATTCCGCCTGGGGGTGTCACAATAATATCCTTGTCAATCTTATGCACTTTCCACCGAACAACCGCTCCGTATGTTTGCCGCAGATTGTTTTCTGTGAGCAAGGGTATCTGGAACCCAGCATCGGGTTCGTGCTCCGGAATGTTACGGGAAAGCATGGTGTCCGCCCGCGTCAATGAGGCGATCTGATACTCTGTAGCGTTCTCTCGGAGCATCCTTTTCGAGCCACCAGTCGGTTCCCCATCGACAGCAGCACAGCCCATTCCTCAACGAAATCGTTGTCATTTTTCATTCGTCTTTGTCCCTAGTATTGGGTAGTAATGCTGTGTGCATTCTTCATCAAATGAATGGGAACCGAAACTACACGTTGTCGGAGTGCCCCGCGTGCAGCTCCAATCGTGACGTTGATTTCTGGTGCGCAATACTGAACTTGATTGGCCGTATCTGTGTGCAACCACACTGGTCGCCCCGTTGGTTTACTTCAAAATCTCGCGGCGGACCTAAATCTTGGCGAAGGTACACGAACGGAGGATCTCTCGCATTTTCTGCATTGTGTACTCTCCTAGGTTCCTCCGTCTACAAACACAACTTCGACCTTTACCATCACGTAGCGCTCGTCAATATGAACAATTAATTATATATTCCAGAGTTTTATCGCCATCTGTTTCATGGTGTCCAATCCGAGGAAGAGGTACTTCCTCGAATGGTGTTCCTTGAATCCGACAGTCTACCAACAATTATTACGACCATGCATCTGTTTCAGCTCTACTCTAGGGTGTAGATCAAGCCAATGGCACAGGATACTTGCGACTCTATTTTGTGCTCGGACTCTTGCCGTGTGTCTAGGGCACAGAGTGGCACAATGCAGTATTCCTGATAAGCTGCACCACTCACTACCCATCCTCAGAGGTGACAAATAACTCCGGTGTTGATACTTCACTACCGAATGACACTGCGAACGTGTAGTTGGAGTCGCCCATGAAGCCGTCAGTTACGCTTGCCCCAGCTGCGGGCGGTGCAGCTAGAAGTGAAGTAACGCACTCTTGGTTCTCAGTGCAGAACTTTGCGCCAACACCAGAATCGGTTGCGGCGTTCTCAGTATCTGCCCACGTGCGGACCTGAAGGTCGTACGCAGCTCCCACTACCTGACGCATAACATCAGATGTGCACGCATGGAGGAGATCTGCATCAGAAGACGATGATGTGGTTGACTTTGACTTCACCATGGTGGCAACCACGAATTGTTCGACGCAAAGTCTGAGTCAAGGAGGGCGAGAGGCAGGAGGGTTGAGGCACGGGAGTGTGTCGAGGTGAGCGGGAAACTGAAGGATAATCTCTACAACATTATGCTTGTGGGGATGAGCAGCGACTCACTTACAATAAACGCACATGCTTTTCTTGTCCAGTGTCGCAAGAGATTGGAATACATGCTGTAAAAAGAACAAGGGGTGGCAGCGAGGCTTGAGAGTACAACAATTTTAACGTTACCATCATTTACACAGAACCGCTTGGCGAAGGCGAAGGGGTTGTTCATCCTGCTCGGATTAGACTCGATTTTCATGGAACACCAGCTTAATTTGTCGCCCAAATATGTCGAGATCGGAGAAAATCGGTATCAGTACCGCCTTCGTGCTCGTTGTAGCGTGCTCGAGACGACCGATCCCCGACACCGGCAAACGTAACACGTGTCAGGCACCAACCGAACCCCAGCTGGTTGACTGCGTCGAAAGAAGTGCAGAACGGTCGATCGGGTGACGTCTCGCGCCTCTGGTGTTCGGCACAACAAATGCGTGGTTCGGGTCTCGCAAATGAAAACGTCATTCATCCCTTCATTCATCCTTTCATCCATTAATTCATTCATTCATTCATCCGTTCATTCATCCATTCATTCATCCATTCACTTATTGTTTTCGGTTCGTTTCTTAGAGGAACAATGCTGAAGTTGTTTTCGAGTACAAGTAGGTTCCCTAGCGGTTGTATTGGTTTCACTCATAGTGTTCCAATACTTTTGTGGCAACTTTGACCGGAAATCACATAATGTTTCAATATGTCCCCGGCTCATGTGCGTAGAATCTGGTGCACACCAAATTCCTGTGGAATTCGCATGTACATACAGTACGGATCGGATTCGGCGTAAGAGTTTGGAGCTGCCTTTCTTCTGCTCCCTCCTCCGCTGTACGAAGAGTGCCCCCCCCCCTCGGAAACACGGTAACAACTAGTGCAGCAACGTAGGTGCACGGCGACGAGGTGATGAAAATAGTGCTCTCAGCGCATAAGTCGCGACGGTTCATGGCGCCTATCTCGTTCATCTTCCTGTATTATGTAGGTGTGGGGTCGGTTGTGAGCGCAACGAGCAACCTTCCCGTTTACCGTCTCTTGCGTTGATGAGATTGAAGACACCATAATGACGAGTAGATGGGGCTCGAGCATGGCTACTCTAGCTGCAGGTCTCCCACCTCGATGGTGTACGGCTTGGGCTAGCTCGACGCTCGGAGTTATTGATCGGCGTGTCGCGGGAGAGCTTTTCGACAGGCCGTACATGCTGCAGGTTGATGGAAGGATTGTGTGTGCTTGTGTCGCAAGGTCGGGATTGAACAGTGAGCGAGATGGGTGCCGGCCGCTCAATGATAACACAGGTTTAGACAGAATGAAATTTTGCGGTAAGACGAAATTCGAATAGTCTATTTTACTTCGATTTTCCACGGCCTACGTCACCTGCCGTGGTTTTGTCCACACACTATGATGCTTTGCTGTTGCGCAGGTTGGCCACGTTTCTCGCCCTTCATTCTGCATGTCAGGTCTCGTCGCCACCTCCCCGATCCTCACCGTCCCCCAATCGGATATGTGAATCCCGACATCATGCGCTTCATCTCTCCCCACATTTGGACGGGAAGGACAACCATCTGGGAGGAAACCCCGCTAAGACGTGGACTTCCGACGGTGCCAACCTCGAGCTCGTTGGTCGACGACATGAACTGATGGCTAGCCAAGTGTTCACCGGTTACTTTCAAGGAGTGATGCCGTGGGCGGTGGCTTGCTCCTAGAGATAGATGAAGGTTCTGTCGTTGACACGCTTGTCCACGACCACGTTGAGATGGGAAAGATGCTTGTTATTGCTGAGAGACGATCAGCAAAGGTCTGGGATGAAGTGGGGATCCAACTTCATCTCAGGGGGTACACAGAGTAGACAATTCTAAGGGGGTAGGGGTCAGAAGGGTATACCTCCTGACCGACCCGCATCCTATCAAGAATATGATGTACCCTTTTCATGCTAGCAGCCACACTCCTTAATACTAGCCCACCCTGAATATCATATATTATGCAGATTCCAT